GCAAACCTGAATTCTGAAAAAAAACTGGCCAAACCCGACCCAAACCACATCAAGAAAGTATGTCTGAACCTGACCTGACCTCACCCGAGTCATATCAAGCTTTAAGTCGGAACCTGACCCACGCCCGACAAAATTTTGTCCTAACCCGACTCAAACCATTTTAAGTTTTGAGCCCAATGCCAACTCCAGCCCTGAGTCCTGAAAAATTCTGTTCAAACCTGATCTGAGCCACTTGTATGCATATATGAATATTTTTCCATCTCCGAAAATGTTACCTTTTCAGAGGTACAAAGAAAAGTAACCCTCTAAAAACTGTACGGTTTGAGCTGTTTTGGGTTGTGTTGAGCTAATCTTGGTGTGGATGTGTTACTCATTTTGCAGCTGAGGTTTGGTCAGCTTGAGTCAGAGAACGTTTTTTCCAGTGTCTGTTTTGAATTTTTAAAAACTGTGTTTTTTTTTTTTTAGAAAGCCCCTTAATCCATGTATGGCAAAGCCACGGGGGCACTTCTTGGTCTTTCTCAAGGCCCATGTGTGGATGTAGAAGACTGGGGGCCATGATGCAACACTTTATGTTGTAACACCCCTGTAATGGCTGAGGTTTGCTCAGGGCCAGCGGCAAAAGGAATGATACACTGACCCATTCCAGAACTGGCTTACCCAAGGATCCATCCAGGAACATTCTGGCCTGTATCTAGTCAGATGCCCACCACTCCACTGCTTGGAGTTGTGTCCAGAGGGGACAAATACCTAGCAGAGAATTCACAGATTCCTCTAAAGGTCAGAGAATGTTTCTCACCATGATCTAACTGTTCAACACTACTCGAAGAGGTCATGAGAGGTCATTATGTTCTGAATACAGAAATATAGACTGTGAGTTGTGATGAACACTTTTTAAAGCTGTTTATAATGGGTTCTTTGAGGTAATGCCATATAAGAACAACTTATGATTCCCTAAAGAACCTTTTGATGGATAGTCCTTAAGAGAACCGGGATGTCTGAGGGTGAAAAACACGCTTGATGATAGCTTAAAGAGGCTTTCCATACAAAAACTGAGTGATACTAAAGATATGTGACTTGATGATCATTAGCCAAAGTTAGATTTGAGAAATATAAACCTTAAAACCATAACTTAAAATACTGGTGAACCCCCTGGAGTTTGAGAACATGTCTGTAATTTTACTTAACCCTGCAATTAGTATAGTGCTACTCTTATTTCATCATTTTTTCATCATTTAGTTGGAAAAATCTTAGCATGCCTAACAAAATACTGTGCAGTCTGAATGTTTTTCCTATGGAATCTAGGTAGATACAGCCAAGTGAGCTCTCCCACTGGTTAGGCCTTCAGGAGCTGAACTGAAGGCCTTACATATTAGATTACCTACCAGTGTAATTCAGGACTGACAGTGGAATCATATTTTGATTTACAATGAGTGTAACCATTTTTTTTCAATGTTTAATCTAGAGTGTCCAAACATTTTCATGTGCATCAGCCTTAGCTTGGCGCTAATATTCTATTAGAAATCCCACAGTGCCTCTAGCAGAATCCCACAACACCACTAGCAGTTACTGCCTGCAAGGCTTAGCTCTAATAGTTACAGTTGGAGATTTAAAAAGACTAGAAAAACTCTATCACTTTGGCTGATGATGGCATTTAAGACCGGACGGTGATTGATAAGGATGTAGCCACGCCAACATAATCAACCCCAGCTTTTCTTTTTGACAGCTTTTGTTTTCTGGCAGATGTTTGACGTTGAATCCGCATGAGTCTGGATTATGTTATGTTAAACCAAGGTGGTACATGTTAGTGACCAACACAAGTAGAAATTTGGCCAAGCAGGTAAACGCCATGCTAAAGTGGCTAGGGGGCTATGATACGCAAAAAACCTTAAAGCAACATTAGCATTTGCTGGCTACTTTAGGCTAGCTCAGAAATTATGAAGAAAGTACAGGTGGGCTTAATCTACTCATCAGAGCCTTATGTATATACATGTATATAGACAATTATCCACACTTATCCCAGTTTGTCATCCCTACCACCTTTAACTTTGAACTTCTGATGACAGATATGCAGCGAATATCTTGTATTTTGGCTCGTCATGTACAAAAATGTATGCAATTTAATACATTTTAAGTAAGTATAAGTTTGTGACATGCATGTATGTAAGCATATCGCTGTTGTCGGAAAAAAAACCTTGTATTTCCAAAATGGTAACTTTACAGGAGAAGGAAAAAACCTACTTTACTTTTAATGTAAGTCAATGGAATCAGACTTTTATCCAAGTGATTTTGGGACGTTTCTTTTGGTCCATTCTTCATGAAATTTACAAGGGCAACAGCCATTTTCAGATTATGACAAAAACTAAAAAATGACAAAAACGGAGATACGAGGTTTTCTTCCGACAGCAGCGGTATACTGCCTGGCACTGTAATTCAGTGGTGCTTTAGACACAATGCACAAAATGCTAGCTAGCTAGCTGAACTGAGAGCCTCTTTAAAACCACTTCAAAGAACAATATACTCTATACCAATTAAAAGTTTGTCCAAATCATGAACCAGGAATCTTTATTTTTCAGAATGTAGTTTGTAGCACTTGATACAGTTTTTCTCAGCACTTTTAAGTGCCTCGCAACTTCACTCTAATTGGTGACAACATCTACAAAGTTTTCCTGCTGTCGAATTCAGGCTAACCTCATCCTTGCATGCTAATTCTGGGCCTGATTCATTTATAGTCAAAGGGATCTAATAACAGAACGGAATAACAATAGAAACGAACTCACCATCTACTCGTTAATTAAGAACAAAACCACTAATACAGAAAAATGAAGCCTTTGATGATTCAGTCTAATAAATCAGCCATTTTAGGTAGATGGGGTTTACATCACAAGGCAGCAGGATCCAGGATAGAACCGTAATGATGGTGTAGGAGCTGACCACTGAGGGACAATGCGGAAATGATGTGCTCTGCGTGCTTCTCGCACTCTGTTCGGTGTGTTGAATCCGTGGCATGTGGCAGGCTTTGGTGGCCCCTGCTGCACCACAGGGATGGAGCATTTGTGAAGGATGTGGGAAATGATCAGCAACCCCCCACACTCCCTCCACCTGGGTCACGGCATGCCTAAGATAATGGGGCACTGTGTGTGTGCTTTCAGCAAGCAGGCAGACAAAATGTCAAAACAAACAAATAAACAAATTAGCCAATAAAAACTAACTGTTTATAAAAGTCTTCTTAGACTAGATTCACATGATGGGCTGACACTGATCATGACTACTGCACTGCTTTATACGGTATATATTTTTTTTACTCTGTATTCCATATTTAATTCTATATTCCATATTTTAGACAATTTAGTTTATTCTCTACTTTTCCAAGTGAAGACAAAATAACAGTAATCAGTGCACCAGAATGTAATCGAGTACAGTATGTTGATGTGTAACTATTTCTCGAATTATGACTCTGCCAACGTAGCTTCTACAGAACGAGTGTTTAACTCATATTTTCACTCTTCACAGATATCAATGTGTGGTTTGTTTGATTCTACACATCATGCTGTGTAATCGTGGACATTTGTGTAAGTGCAAGATAGAACAAACACTAACAGGCAAAATTGCTTAAGATCCGTAAGCATAACATAACCAAAAAGATCATTAATTAGATCATCACTGAGGTTATTATGATGGTTCCAGCAGCTCAAAAGCAGGAGGAAAGTGATCTAGAAGGATATTTATGTATAGGTATGTATGTATATATAAATGGCCCAAAATGACTGGGAAAACAGTCTGACATTAAAAGTGAAGTATGGTTTTTCCTTCTTCTGTAAAGTTACCATTTATACATACATATAAGTATATAGTATTTAAGTATATATATATATATATATATATATATATATATATATATATATATATATATATATCTATCTATCTCTCTATATATATATATATATATATATATATATATATATATATATATACACACACACACACATATATATATATATATACACATATGTATGTATATACATATGTATATATATGTATGTATATACTGCTGTCAGAGCCAAATCTTGTATATATATATTTATATATATATATATATATATATATATATATATATTTATATATATATATATCACTGCTGTCAGAAGAAAATACATTTTTCAGTTTTTGACATAATTTGAAAATGCCTGTTGCCCTTTACATTGTGTGTAAAATTCATGATGAATGAACCAAATGAAACGACCCAAAATGTCTGGTTCTATTGACTAACATTAAAAGTAAAGTAGATTTTTTCCTTTTCCTGTAAAGTTACCAAGGTTTTCTTCTGACAACAGCGACACACACACACACACACACACACACACATCATCTAAACCACTTATCCTTCTGGGTCATCGGGGGTGCTGGAGCCTATCTCAGCTGTCATTGGGCGGAAGGCAGGATAGCGATAAATATGCACACACACACACACACACACACACATTATATATATATATATATATATATATATATATATATATATATGTATATGCACACACGTGTGTATGTACGTATACAACTTTGTACTACATATAGACACATATAGAGGTACAAAAGTTGTGTGTGTGTGTGTGTGTGTGTGTGTGTCTGTGTGTCCTATTATTAACACCATGGTCAAATTACATGTTTTGTTGAGATTTGTTTGATTGCTGTTTAGGCTTTAAGACCCTAAGCCAAATAATCTGAATCTCCCCATCCTGCACACACACACACACACACACACACACACACACACACCGTTACACGCTCTCTCACGTTCACGTTATCTCTCTCTCTCTCTCTCTCTCACACACACACACACACACACACAACAAGCACACGCGCGTTGGCGCTCCTAACCCAACCAACCCTTCTCTGCTCCGCTCGTGCTTCCCTGCTCCTCTTTAAGTCGCACGCGCTGGTCGCAGGTCCCTCCTCAGAGGCTCCTGTGGGGGGAGGCAGCATTAGACACCAGCACACTCTCTCTCTCTCTCTCTCTCTCTACACACACACACGTACACACACTCAGTCTCTCCGCTTCGACTGTCTCCCTCCCGATCAGATCAGATCAGATCTGGCTCCGCTCGCTGCTTGTGGTGGGCTTGTGTGAGCAGCAGGGTCCAGCTGAGCCCGTGGCGAAGGAGCACCAGTCACATACACACACACACACACACACACACACACACAAACACACAAACGCGAACACCGAGCGCGCGCGGGAAGCGGAGCCGAGAACACCGAGCACGAGGTGCGCGCGCGCTCTCCTCGTCTTTCTCGCGGCTTTGGATGGACGGCTGACCGCTCGGTGATGCCCATTTATATCATCGACCGCAAATTTCCAGAGACCCCTGGTAAGTCTGGATGGCTGGGGGTGGGCTGGGGCGGGGGGCGCTTGGGGTGACCTTTTTAATGCCTTTGCCACAAAACGCACGCGCTTGCAAACGCAGCGTTAAAGTTTTTCTACGCTTTGCTGTCTGGTGCCTGCATGTATGCAGCCGCTCGCGCAAACGCATCCCAAGTGTTTCTGCACGCGTTTAGGGAAGCAGGTCCGGGGTGAAGATTAATCTGAAGAATCTGAATAATCTGAAGATTATTACCCACAAACTACTGGAGCTGATGAAATTATTCTGAAACCAACAGTTCTCAGAATGAGGAATTGAGGTCCTTAGGCTTTAGACAGGGGCAGTGAGGAGGTCAGCTTTTCCTGGCCACCCGGCGTTTTTTGCTTTGCAATGGTGAAAGCAAGGCTGCTGAGTTTGGTGGGTAATACGGTGGGCTTCACTGGCCGTGGGCTGCTGATGAGGCGCTTCAGGAGATTCAGTCTAATTTGGTCTTTGAAGCTGCTTCACATGGCCAAGCAATTCAGCTCAATCCAGTTCAGTTCCGTTTGATGCGGATCCACTTGTTTCACTTCATTTCTATTTGGTTTGGTTCGATTCAGTTCATTGCAGTTCAGGTCAGATCAGCTCAGTTCAGCTCAACTCCGTTTAGTTCAGTTCAATTCAGGCAAATTCTGTTCGCTTCGGATCAATTCAGTTTGGTTTTGTTTGGCTTGATTCAGTTAGATTCGATTCAGATCAGTTTATTGCAGTTCAGTTCATTTTATATCAGTTCAGTTTAATTCAATTCAATTTGGTTCTACTCGATTCTGATCACGGTTCAGTTCAGTACAGCTCAGATCAGTTTAGTTCAGTTCCCTTCAGTTCATTTAATTTCATTTCATTCCAATTCATTTCATATCAATTCATTTCAATTTAATTCAATTCGGTTCTATTCGATTCTGTTCAGTCAATCAGATTCAGTTCAGTTTAGTTCAGTGTAGTTCACTTCAGATCAATTCAGTTAAGTTCAGTTCAGTTCAGCTCATCTCAGATCAGTTCAGTTCCCTTCAATTCAGTTAATTTCAGATCAACTCAGTTCAATTCAATTCAGTTTGGTTCTACTTTGATTCTGTTCAGTCAATTCAGTTCAGTTCAGCTTGGCTACGTTCAGTTCAATTCTGTTAATTTCAGTTCAGTTCATTTTATATCAGTTCAGTTCAGTTCAATTCAGTTTGACTCTACTCGATTCCGTTCAGCCATTTCAGTTCAGCTCAATGCAGTTAAGTTCAATTCTGTTCAGTTCAGTTCAGTTAAACTCAGTGCAGTTCAATTCAATTCAGTTCAATCCAACTCAGCTTCATTATCATTGTGCCAGAGTAATACACAGTGCACAGTACAGAAGTGCAGGAATGGAACAGTGTTTTCCAGTCTAATCTCTATGTGCCACATCTGTAGCCACATCTGTATTATACCATCACTCACCACACTCAACAGCTTTGTTGTGTTTATCTGTACTAAGTTAAGAAGAGAAAACCTGTTGACCTGAAACTAATTTATAATAGAAGCCAACGGGCAGCTGCTGGATTCCGTGCATAAAGGTTTGAAATAGATGACTGTGTAATGCTGATTTCAAACTACAGTCATTACACTCTAACAATAGGATGAGACATACATGAGAGAACGTCTTACCAAAGCTGTTCTTAAGAGGTTTTATCCAACTTTCCAACCCCATCGCTTCTATCATGAGAGAGTCTTGGGTCACCAGGTTTTTTTGCCCAGTTGTCTGTGGTAATCATCTTCATGCAACAGAGACATACAGATAGAGTCCTCCAGAGTGGATCTGTGTATGAGATGGTTCTTGGAATGGAAAAAGCATGGGGGGCAGTGGGGAGTGACAATGTGCTAAATGCTATGTGCTTTTTGTTTGAATTGTTTGGATAATCTACTTCATAATGTGCTTTAACGTGCTGAAAGATGATAATACAGCTCTTTGCATGTAATATAGCAACTGCTGATCTGTGCTGTCTTTCAGTCGGGGTGAACTATATGCAAATGAAAACAGTCTGACCAATCAGATTGTTGGATTGAAGTGCAGAAATCGATGGTGTTACACCCTTGTTTCAGCTCAGCAAGGCCGTCTTTGTGGAGAGGTGTAAATTGTTTTCATAGTAGGGGCTCTCCTCCCCTTTCACCCATCATTGCTCACTAGCAGCTCAACATAGAGTAAGAATATTTCACACTTAGAGATAAAAGGGTGCCCTAGTTAACCCTTTAGAATCAGCTGGTGATACAAAATACCATGCTGTTTTAACCCCTTAACTTTCCAGGCTTTTTACATACAAAGGCTTATTTTTCATTAACTACAGGGACTTCATTGTGAACTAATGGAGTTTTAGAACTTTTTGCCGGTTTGGATCGAATCAGCGACCTTCCAGTCACAAGGCTGGTTCCCTAATCTGCAGCCCACCATTTACTAAACCAGAACTTTTTGCATGCAAAAGTTTGAACACCACGAATGACATGTTTTTGTTGACTTTCTTAGTGAAGATAAGCACACAATCTCTACAGAGAACAGACTTCTGTAGATTTTAATGCACAAAACTGTTTATTTGTTGTATTTAACATTTTTATAAAAATAAAATGTGGCCTGTGCAAAAGTTATGGCCCATTTTATCTTTGTTTAATTTTTTCCCTATAAATTAAAATCATGCACTAAAATTTGCTGGAAAATGCCACATTTAAGTTCTACTTTAGGATATGTTCACTTATTGTCCTTTAGAAAATCAACAGAGCTTTTAATTTGCCCAGGGGTGTTCATACTTTTGTATGCAATTGTAAATAAAACAACATAAAAATGCTAAATCCCTGCACTGAGCACACGTAGGTCTTTGCTATGCTTAGAGGTTCTGGCCATTTGTTATTTTTAGCAGTTGTAGTTAAACAAGCCTGAAAACTGGGGATGCTGCAGCCCCCCCCCTCCCCCACATCCCTGTGCGGGTGTGATGGTGGTGTGTGACTTTCTGTTGCTGACTGTGCGAGTGGTGGAGGAGTGTGTCACTTCCACTAGGCCTGTGTGTGGAAACTGTCCGTTCTGCTGTACGCTCTGAGATCATACTCGCTGAACATGATATGATTTGGAGGCTCAGTCATTCATTCTGAAGGCAGTGAGTAAGTCTGTGGGAGAGACGTTACACACGGACACTCAGTATATGTGTGATGTGTGATGTGCAAGCAGCAACTACAGCCCCATGCTGAGCTCTTCACCCAGCGCAGAGAGGAGGAGAGTCAGAGCTAGAGCTTTCTCTGTCTCTCTCTCTCTCTCTGTGTCTGATGATGATGTACTGGAGGGTTATCATTTTCCTCTTATGTCTTCTGTTCAAAAGTTTGGAATCACTTCTCATAATAAAGGAGGAATTCCATTCATTTTCAAAAAGTTTCTGTGTTATTCAGTGGTTGAGATGTAAACAGAGTCAGAGTGGTTTGGTGCGACATGGTTCATAGTAGAGAAACTTACAGACTCTAATTTTCACAGTGGTGGAACCAGTAGCTGCAGTGTCTATGATGTAAATATAAAGGCATATGCAAAAGTTTATCCCCTTAAAAGTCCCAGGCTTATTACACACTAAGGCTTACTATTCAGTAACTACAAGGACCTCAATGTAAACTAGTTGTGCCTTAAATATGGCACTTTTAGTGCGCACTTTGGCCCAATCCCATTTCTTATTTTTACCCCTACCCCTTGTTTTGTGTTGCCTTGCTCCTTGACATTGAGTTACAAAGGGTGCTGGTGGACATCGTCCTGTATGAAATGGGACCCTCAAATATAAAAGAGCATTACTTCATTAACAGCTACTAGCGCTGCTCTGTAGGTGACCCTGCCAGTCTGCAGTGACAGCAGAGGAGGGTAAAGTTCAGCTCCTCACTGCTGGGCTTTAGTTACATTTAGGGCATCATATGCCTTCAAAGAGAGGACAATTATTTATTGTCACCCAACCCCTAATTCTTCAGTGGTATGAAGCTGATGTCAGCTATTTGCCAGCTTCTTATTTGAATTCTCCCGTTCCACCTTAAATGGTGCAGCAGTTCTGACACCTGAGGCATCAGAATGTAACTGCTGCACCATTTAAGGTGGAACAGGACATGTAGCTTACTGGCTACTAAGACATCAGCATACTACTAGTGATTTTATGCTTGCTATGAAGAAAAGAACCATAATGCACTGAAATGACGTTAAACTTTGATCGTTTTTGATATGGGGTTCTATACAGCACCAAAAAGCGTTCCTCTATTTTTAGAATGTCCAGCCTGTTACAACAGAAGAACCCTTGTTAGTGCTATATAGAACTATTTTCCAACAGGTTCTAAATAGAACCATATAAAACATTCTCCATCAATCTGAAGAATGCTTTCACCATGCAGAGAACCCATTGATCATGTGTTCATGGTTCCATATAGAACCATTTTCTTTACCCAAGAACCATCTTTTTTAAGCATGTATGACGTTGTATAGCAGTAAAATAAAAACACTGGTTCTGTTGAGCTGATTACTTCTACTTTATCTGGCTACCCTCCCCTCCGCCTCCGCCTCCCCCCACAGCTTGTAAGCCAGGCCTGTGCTTGCATGCCTCAGGTGATATCTTATCCAGGGCTGCCGGGACTCTGTCAGAATGACGGCTTGGCACACAGTGACGCATCCACCAACACACGCCACACACACACCCACCACCCTATCAGATTCCATAGTACTTCCCCGCTCAGTCAGCGGCTAGAACGTTGTAGCTCAGGGTCTTTCGTTTCTGATGATGTCTTTCTGATCTGCTCCAGAAATAACCTTAAACGCTTCTGAATGACCAGACAAATCTCAGCAGTATTTCTGAACAGAGGTAAAGGTTTTTCTTTTACTAGCCCTCTCAGTGAAATCACAATTAAAGTGCTCCTTTAACTTGTCTCTGCACCTGTACTTAAAGATAGCATGGAAATGCTGAAGAAATTTAGCCAGTGCTAACTCAGCCACTTACACTGTACAGTAC